ATGAAAGGTATATAATCAAATGGAGAAACATCATTTGATGTCTTCATTCTTGTTGGGCAGGCATTAAGGGTGGAACTTTTAGGAGGGAAGCAGGCATTTTTTATGAATATATATTATACCCTTTTCAGGAAGGACAAGCTCAGTAACAGAATAAACTCTAGGCAACTTTCTGAATAATTTGGTAAATTTTCTTAGGCTCTGTTGTGTGGTAGTCCAGCCACAGGCATAACTCTTAATTTTTAAAAATATGCCCACTTCTGGCACACCGGGGTGGCTCGGTCAGCTGAATGTCTGACTTTGGCTCAGGTCTTAGTCTTGCAGTTCCTGAGTCTGCCCTGCATCGGGCTCTGTGCTGACAGTTCAGAAACTGGAGCCTGCTTTGGATTCTGTGTCTTCCTCTCTTTGCCACTCCCCTGCTTACGATCTGTCTCTCTTTCTCTCTCAAAAATAAACAAACATTAAAAATTTTTTAAATGCCCACTTTCTGGACATCAGTAGACATCCATCTTGCAGGTGTATTCAACTATAGCTCAAATAAGTAGCTGCTTTCAGTCTAACCAAAATTTATTTTTATTTTTATTGATTTTATTTATTTTTGAGAGAGAGAGCAAGTGGGGGAGGGAGGTAGAGGGAGGGGGCAGAGAGAGAGAGAGAGAGAGAGAGAGAGAGAGAGAATCCCAAGCAGCCTCCGCGCTCAGCATGGGGGCTCAATCCCACAACCATGGGATCATGACCTGAGTCAAAATCAAGAGTCAGATTGAGCCTCCCACCCTGGCACCCCTTTAGTTGTAATTTTATGACTTTTCAATTAAATTAATATGTGCTCAGCACTTACTGGAGGACAGAGAGTAAATTAGAAAGTCATACATCTGTAGCTTTGTTTGTTAAGGGGCAAAAANACTGAAACAGGCTCCAGGCTCTGAGCTGGCAGTCAGCACAGAGCCCGACACGGGGCTCGAACCCACGAACCGCGAGATCATGACCTGAGCGAAAGTCGGACGCTTAACCGACTAAGCCACCCAGGCGCCCCGGACATGCTCTTTTTAAAGAGAAGTTAGAAGTCCTAACTTTTATGTGAAATCTCATGATTTTAACAAAATGATAACTAATTTCAAATTTAAGTAAAAAGCTGTGCAAGCTAAAGAAAGCACGTTTGTGTCCTGTCTTGGCCTGAGGGTACTGGCTTTTCCTGGGCCGCACGAGGGAGGGGGATGGGGCCCACAGAAGCCTGAGGAATGGGACTTGAGAGCAGGAAAGGGGGTGGTGGATAGGGATGACTTAAGAGAGGTGATGACATTGGAACCGGGGTCTTGAAGGATGAATAAGTGTCCCAGGGGAGAGGGGAAGGCATTCCGGCAATGGGAACTCCATTAGCAAAGGCCTAGATGCATGACCAAGATTGGTGACTGGTTGGGCGAGGCTGGAGTTTAGGAAAACTGCTGGGGATGTCATATCAGCAAGACCCAGGCAGGCCCTGGGCAGCAGGGGGAACGTTGAGGCCTCAGCCCCCCCCCCCTCCCCGCTGTCCTGGAGGACTTGGTGGCTCCAAGGAGATTAAAATCCCCCCAGTTCTCCATCCCTTGAGCCACAGGGGCTCTGAATGCAGGTGGGGGTGGAAGGTCTGGCACCAGATCTTTGAGAGGGCTGCAGTGGGGGACAGTGGCAGAGGCACCCCTCGCCTGCGTGCTGGTGGCCGGCAGTTGGTTTACAAAGCATCTAGCCCTCTCCCCACCCCCATCCCAGAGTATTTGGCCTCTCTGGGGACACGGGCTGGTTGGCCCCCTCTTTTTCTCCCTTTACCCTCTCCTGGGCCTGGCCTTTGCCCTGCCCTCTCTCTGGCCTCCTGGCCTCTAAGCATCTGGCCCCTGCTTACCCATCTGGCTCTAGGGAAAGGCCAGGGCCTCTGCAAATGGGGGTTTGGGATTCCGAGGACTGGCTGTCAGAGACTTGAGAGAGAGCACAGAGCTGGTCTGATCAGGCTCAGTTATATCCACACTGTGCCTGCATTAAGGAAGGGACAGGAGTGCGCGGTAAGAGCCGCTAACCCTTATTCAGGGCTGTGCGCCAGGCATGGTCTGTGTGCTTTCAGTGTGTCAACTCATTTGCTGTTCACAGCCACAAGAGCATGTCCAACTTTGCTGTTTTACAGGTTAGGAGGAGACTGGGGGCACAGAGAAGATAAGTAGCTTGCCCGAGATCACACAGCTGCTGGGCGGCTGCGCTCAGGTGTGAATGAAGCCGCCCACTTCCGGTCTGCGTGCAACCATAAGGCTCTCTTTCCGTCGGACTTCAGGTCCATGGATATGGGGTCTGGATTCCTTGAAATTGTTACAGGATTTTCCAGCAGCTATGCATATTTTTTATGGGAAAATGTCAGATTCCCACAGGGGTCTCTGATCCCTAGGTGCCTGAGTCTGTTGCTTGCATCGTTAGCACACACGCTGAGAGTCTGTTAATGCGGTAGACTAAGGGCCAGTGACCACAGCACCCAGGCCTGCAGGGGAAGTGCAGTTGAGTGGCCGGAGTGGGCAGGTGCCCCCAGGCATGGCAGGCAGGTGTCGGACAGCTGTCCTTCCCCACCCACTGTGCTCAGGTCCTGGCCCCAGGCCAAGAGGCTGGGCTCGCTGTGGCCCCAGGGCAAAGAGCTGCCCTTATCAGTGGGAAAAAGGAGACCGTTGCAACCTGGAAATAAACAGGACTGTTACCCCAGCCCTCCAGCCTCCGCCCAGGAAACCTGTTCCTTCTCGCCCTGCTCAGCTGGAGTTGCAAGGAGTTGCTGGAAAGCTTTGCACAGTCCCTTATCTCCAGGCTGAGGCACTTGCTTCTCCCCATTCCTACCCCTGGTCAACTGCGCTTGTTCTTCTGGTCAGTTCAGGAACCACTTCCCCCAGGAAGCCTTCCTTGATTCGCCCCCTCCCCTTCAAGGGTAGTTGTGTGTCCCTGAGTTCTCTCAAACACCTTTCCCCCACTATTACACTCACCCCCTGCATTGTTGGCACCTGTTTTCGTGGCTGCCTTCAGTTCCCTGTGGTGCTGGCACAGAGTAGGACTGGGACTGAGTTAGAGAATATCAGAGGTGGAAGAGCCCCAGAGCGCATCTGGCCCAAGCCCCTCTCTAACAGGCGGGAAGCCCAGAGAGGGGTTAGGGTGTGCTCTGGGTCACACAGCATGTCATTGGCAGAGCTGGGAGCAACAGTGGTGGCCTAGACACTTCCTCATTTCATACTCCTGCCTCTTGCTTTTGAGCACATCTTTTCTTATCTATCTATCTATCTGTCTATCTATCTATGAGAGTGTGAGAGTGGGGGAGGGGCTAGGGAGTGTGAGAAAGACTCTCAAGTAGCACGAAGCCCCACGTGGCTCCCAACCCCACAACCCTGGGATCATGACCTGAGCCTAAATCAAGAGTCCATCGCTCAACCAACTGAGCCACTGAGGTGCCCCTGAGCACATCTTTTAAAAACATTTGTTTTTCTGGGGCACCTGGGTGGCTCAGTTGATTAAGCATCTGATTTTTGGCTCAGGCCGTGATGTCACAGTTGGTGAGTTCGAGCCCCGCATCGGGCTCTGCGCTGACAGCTCAGAGCCTGGAGCTTGCTTCAGATTCTGTGTCTCCCTTTCTGTCTCTGCCCCTCCCCTGCTCGCTCTCTCTCTCTCGCTCTCTCTCTCTCTCAAAAATGAACATTAAAAAAAACTAAAACAAAACCATTTCTTATTTTCACAAAACTGGTAAATGAGTATTATAGAAAATTTAGGAAACAGAGAAGAAAATAAAAATCATTCAGAGAATCATTGTGATAATCATTGTTAACATTTTGGCTTTTTGTTTGTTTGTTCGGATTTAGTACCAGCTTCTGGCTTCTGCATAACAATTTTCAACAGAAATATGCCCATGCGTAGTGTCTAATAAATGTTTTCTGCCTTAACAACTTGTATGGTAATCATATTTCTATGTCAGTAACTGTCTTTTCTTCCACGTACTGTGAATGTTGTAAGTGGCTGCCTGGGCTTCTATCTAATGCTTGCATTATAATTGCTAAGGACAATCCCCCATTGTTGGGTATTTGCTACTGTAAATAGCACTGGGATTTGTCTTCTTGTGGGGAAATCATTACACACCTCTGCAATTACAACCTCTGAGATAAGTTCCTAGAAGTGCAATTGTCCGGACTCTGGTATGCTGTGCCCCCACCCAGGGCACCGTGTAGTCTTGGGCCCGGGAAGGATTTTTTAAGACCTTCCCCTCCAAGTGCAGGTCTAAGGCTTATATTCACTCCTGGCTCTGTCAGCCCAGACCGTCATCCCTCCTGCCCCTGTCCTCTTCCCCATCTCTCTCCTGCTGGCTTTCAGCAGCTGTTTCCACTGTTCAAGGGAGACTGGAGGGCCGTGATAGGGGCTGCTGTTTGGGGTGAGGAAACTGGGGCCTTAGATTAGTGAGTGTGGGTTTTCATTTACTCTGCAGGGAGATTAATACATGTGGAGGCTCTGGGCAGGGGAGGGGGCTGAGAGAGACCCAGGAACCCCAAGTCCTGGCTGCCTGATAAGGCCGCTCGGCCCATGCAGACAGAGAAATGTGTGGGGAGGCGCTGTGTGGGTGAGGACGTGGTGTTCAGCCGGGATTCAGAACCCCACCTCGGGCTCCCAGGCCTTGCGCATGTTTGTTTCAGTCTGTCCTCCCTGCCTCTGGAGTTTGCCAGCTCTAGCGTTGGACTCGTGTAATTGTAACAAACACCACCCCTGTGGACACCATATGCTTGGTGTGGCTCTAGGTGATTTCTGCACATTATGCGCATTAGGCTCAAGGACCTCATCCCTGAGCCTCTGGTGAGGCAGGTACTGTTGTCAACCGTTTCACCACGAGGAAAACTGAGGCCGAGACAGCTTGCGTGAACTCCTGGAGCCAGGCTGGACAGCAGCCCCTGGGTTGGGCCCACCTAGGTCGGGGCCGTGTGTCCACACCCAGCGGACTTCTCACCTCTGTCTCTCTGTCCTCTCCACAGCGTTGGCCCTGGGGGCCCCACTGAGCGAGCGGCATGCGGCACCCCCGGGCCTGCGCTGCGTCCTCCGGCCCACTGCCCAGCCCCCCCAGGAGGCCCTGACGCCCTGGGGCCACTTCTGCTGTGCACAGGACCACGTGGGGGTTTGCCATGGTGACATAAAGGCGCGCGGAGGAAGGAAGGAGCGCGACCGGCCTGCGGACTGTGCCCCTGGCTGGGAGGAAGGGCCGGGCGCCCGGATCCTCCACTCCTGCTGCCCGCTGAGGGCCGTGCTTGCTGAGTGACTGTGAATTGGGTGGTCGGGGGACGACTGCTCTCCCCTCCTGCGTGGGGCCCGGGGGCGGCCAGGATGCCCGCCCTGGCGCGCCTCCGCAGGCTGTGTCGGCACGTGTCCCCGCAGGCTGTCCTTTTCCTGCTCTTCGTCTTCTGCCTGTTCAGCGTCTTCGTGTCGGCCTACTACCTGTATGGCTGGAAGCGGGGCCTGGAGCCGTCCTCGGCCGACGGCCCCGAGCCCGACTGCGGGGACCCGCCCCCCGTGGCCCCCAGCCGCCTGCTGCCGCTCAAGCCCGTGCAGGCGGCCGCCCCCTCCCGCACGGACCCACTGGTGCTGGTGTTTGTGGAGAGCCTCTACTCCCAGCTGGGCCAGGAGGTCGTGGCCATCCTGGAGTCCAGCCGCTTCAAGTACCGCACGGAGATCGCGCCGGGCAAGGGCGACATGCCCACGCTCACCGACAAGGGCCGCGGCCGCTTCGCCCTCATCATTTATGAGAACATCCTCAAGTACGTCAACCTGGACGCCTGGAACCGGGAGCTGCTGGACAAGTACTGCGTGGCCTATGGCGTGGGCATCATCGGCTTCTTCAAGGTACGTGGCCGGGGAGGGCAGCAGGGGGGGCAGCGGGGGTCGGCGGTGCCCCAGCAGGTAAGGGCTCTGGCTGAGTCTGGAGTCCGCGTCGACCCTCGATGGCTGAGTGTCTGGCTTTTTTAATCTGTGTAATGGGTATAATGGTAGCCCCTACCTCCCAGGATTGTCATGAAGGGCCAGTGGGTGAGTGTATGTAAAGCGCTCAGAGCACAGAGTGCCTGGTGTCTAATAAGTGCTTTTTAAGTATTAGCTTTTCTTAGGAGCACGTGGCAGGGGATTGCATGGGACCTGGCACACGGCGGGCGCTTGCCCAAAGGAAGCCCCGGGAACACGTGTGAGCTGGGAGAGGCGAGGTCCCTTGAATGTCCTGGCAGTCCTCCTAAGAGCTGGGGTGTGTCCTCATTTTGTAGAAGGGCAAACCGAGGCTCCAGAGGCTTATGTATCTGAGGCTAAGTAGCCTGGAAGTGGGAGAGCCAGGATTTGAAGGCAGACTTAAGACAGTCTGGGCTCTGGATCCTGTGCTCTTTCCTCTTCGCTGTGGCGGGCTGTGGCGTTTACACACCTCCCGAACAGGGCCATTTTGCATTGGAGGAAAGAGGAGAAAGAAATCCCGGTGGGCAGGTGAGCCGCCCTGGGCTCTGTGGGGACACTGAGAATGACTGCTGGGATCAGAGTCCTTGCTGCATGTGCGTGGAGAAGCTGCCTGTAGGGAGGAGGAAGTTGGGGACAGCTGGATGGGGAACCTAGACGCTCTGGCCAGAGAACTCTCCCCTTCAAGATGGGCGGTAAGGACTTTAGGGAGGTGCGTGGGGACATGCATCTCTTCATTCAGCACATTTCTACAGAGCACTTACTGTGTTCCAGTCCCTTCGCTAGGCACTGGGGACACAGTGGTGATCAGAGCATGCGGTCCTTCACTGCCGTCACGGAGCTGACATTTCAGTGCAGTGGGGTGGGGTGGGTGGCAGACAATGAACAAATACACATACCAAGTGGCAGGTGGTGACAAGTACAAGAAGGAATAAAGCTGGGAAAGGGCATGGGGTGTGAGGAGCATGGGCACTTGACGCCCTTTCTGACGGAATGGCCGGGAAGTTTGTCCTTGACAAAGCACTGGAAGGAAGTGAGGCAAGGAGCCACAGAGCTGTCTGTGCAGAGGGCCTTTTTGACAGAGGAGACAGGTCTTGAGGGCCTTCCCAACAGAGGTGGCAGGTCCTGAAGCAGGCTCTTGCTTGGTGGAAGCTGGGAGAGGAGGAGGAGTGGGTCAGAAACGGCCCATATCCGCTGACGGGGGCCTATATGTCCGTGTGCACTGGGCCCTGTGCTCGGGGTAGGGAGGAGCCTGACCCAGGGGAGGGGTCCTCCTGGCATGGCCTTTCATGCATTAATGCAGCAGGCTGCTCTGCCACTCAAAAAGGTTTTGTGGGCCAAGAAATTGAAGGCCTTTAGAAGTCCTGCAGTAGAGCAACCTGGTGAGGTTTGTTCCCCAGCTGGCTTGATCACAAAGCCCTTTATTTCAAAGAGCAGCCTCTAGGAAACGCTGGCCTGCTTTCTGGTTTTACAGTGGCGTAACCTCAGACTCCCTTCATTGTCTGCTCCATCCCCCCCCCCCCCCCCCCCCCCCCCCCCCCCCCCCCCCCCCCGACTCTTCCATTCCCTGCCATGAACTTCATTAAGTTTGATTCAGAGCCCCAGGGCTGGAAAACGTCTCAATGGCCGACATTTATTGAGTGCTGACCCAGAACCATGCACCATCCATGGGCTCTCTGTGAATGAACTCAAAGAACACCCATCAACTGTCCTCTGAAGCAGGTGGCTATCATCCTGATTTAAGAGAAAAGAAAACTGAGGCAAAGAGGGGCGAAGAAATGTGACTAATCATCTCTCTAATGAGTCCAGATCGAGGATTTGAACCCAGGCAGCCCGGTTGGAGAGACTGTAGTCTTAACCACTGTGTGAGGAGTCCAGGACCTCAAATGGCATTTATGTAGCAGAAATCACGTCAGCGCACAGAGCTCCCGTCGTCTCTGGGCACCAGGCAGGGGGCACAGTTGTGCCAGCGCTCGGATTCTATCTAGCCCCAGTTCTTCTTCACAGAAGGTGCACATGAGGCCCGGGGAGCGGAGACACGCGACCAGTCCCACTGTGGGGTCACTGGAAAGTCCAGTCTCTGCGTTCTTCCTACCATATTGTGCAAGAACGACCCCTCCTTGGTCTGAAGTGGAGGCCTAGGACTTTCTGCTCAAATGGAGCCCTCTGGTGGCCAAGCTCCGTCTTTTGGCTCTTTCCACGAGGCCTCTGGCAGTGCTGTGTACCCGGCTCGCAGAGGGTTCGTGGACACCAGCCATCTGGAGACTCTTCCTTTCCAGTTCCCACTGGTGCTGGGTTCCCAGGGCAGGGCAAGAGCAGGAACTGGAAAGTCCAGACCCTGGTTCAAACCTTTCTGTCATTTCCAAGCAGAGCGACCTCAGGCAGGATATTCAGCCCATCTGTAAAGGGGGGCCCGTCACAGCCCCTGCCTCACTGGGCCATGTCGATGACGACAGTAGGTCGCACCCTCTGCCACCCAGTAAATGGCAGCTGCCACGCTTTGTCATCTCCTTGTCATCCACCAGCTCTGTTTGCTGTGGTGGTCGCCTTTGTCCACCTTGTGGCTCTGACTTGCGCCCTGAGCAGGTCCTTGAGGTTGGGAGCCCTGGTTCCTGCCGCTGCCACTGTGTGTCTCCACCTCAGGGTTCCAGGGTCCCTGGGGCTGAGCACACCCCAGCAGAGGAGTGACAAGGCTACCCAGCCTCTCTCGTTGCGTCCTTATGTGCCGCACACTGAACTCATTGCTTTGCAAGCCTTACCGCGTGTAATTCTCAGAACTGCCCTGTGAAGCCGGCACTTTGTTTTCACGTAAGAAACTGGGGCTCAGCAAGTGAAATGGCTGTCTGGAGTAACGTAGCTGAGTCAGTCAGGGCCAGGATTTGAAAGCCACACTCAGGCCTCCCTACCCAGCCACAGGTGAGTCTATCCGAGCAAACGGATGGACAGATGTGGGGACCTGAGATGCACAAAGCGGTGCATCCCAAAGTTATCCAGCCATTACCATCCGAGTCTGTGTTAGGCCTCCCAAGTCCCAGGGCAGGGCCCTTCCTCCCTCTACCTGATGACTCCCCAGGGAGATTTGGTGACTCCTGAGTGGTCCCCAGTGCATGCGAGCAGGGGGGTACCCTCCTGTGGTGGGCTGAAGCCTGCAGTATGGGTCAGCCTCAGTGATGCTGAGGCTTACTCTCCATTCTTTTGTTGCCCACTAGGGTGGATGATCAGCAGCTTGGCTCTCTCTCTTCCTCGATGTCTCCCAGCTGGGCAGCTGGCCGAGCTGCCCAGCGCCTGGCAGTCAGCTCAGGAACGGGGCTTTGAAATGGGATCTCCCAGTGCCTGTGGTCCAGTGTGGCCTCCCAGGCGACAGCAGGTGACAGACAGGGCCTGAAATGTCAGTAGGCCCCACTGCCTTTGCCCCCACGAGGCCCAAGTAGCTGGCCAGTGCTGGCTTAGGGATCCTGTGGACCTGGGGCTGGGCGGAGTGGCCTGTCAGGGTGGGACTCTGCGCTGGGTCTCAACACTCCAGGTTGGCTCAGGACAGGGTGGGGTGTGGGCAAGTACTCCTGGTATGTGGAGAATTGAATGCACAATTACAAGGCCAGAGCCCTGCAGAGCCTTTGTGGGAATTAGAAAAAAAGCTTTTTTGCATGGTGGATATTAGCAAAAGACACCCTCGGGGGAGAGGCAGCTCCACCTGGGACACACGCTTGCTCGGGGTCCTCAGCTGAATGTCCTTGTGCAGTGCTCCCTGGCCAGCACTCCTGGGTGGTCCTCTGTACCGCCCTACCTTTCCCTGTCACCTCATTTGGTGCCCTTCGCTGTGCCCCACCCCGCTCATTCTCCACACAGCAGCCAGATGGGTCTTTTTAAAATGCAGATTGGAACCTGTCATCCCTCTGTTCCAAACCCTTTGATAGAGTCTTTGATGGCCTCCACGGCCACTTCAAGCCTCCAGGGTCCTCAGATCTCGCCCCAGGCGACCTTCCTGTCTCTTTTCCTCCTCTCCCTCTTGATCACTCTGCTGGCCTCTTGCTATTCCTTGAGTCCTCGCCTTCCTCAGGGCCTTTGCACTTGCTGTTCTTTGAATGTAACCTCAGCTTTCCCACTGGTTGATACTTACTCATTCTTTAAATCTCAGTTCAAAAGTCCCTTCTCTGGGAAGTCTTCCTCGAGCCAGCTGACTATGGCCAGTTATTGTCTCTTCCAGAACCATGAACTTCTTCTGGGTACCATGTGCCACACTGAAGTTTTATACTTATTTCTGCGATTTTGATTGCTGTCTCTCTTCCCTGCTTGACTTTAAGGTTCATGAGGGCAGGAGCCACATCTGTTTTTCCTTACTGTATCCCTGGCACATAACATAGTACCTGGCACAGTGAATAGTTATGGAACAAACAAATGAAATCCATACTGAAAACCTGTCCTGTTCCAGGCACTCGGGATGTGTCTGTTCCTTTTTATTCTATTTATTTTATTTTATTTAGTTAGTTAGGTTATTTAGTTAATTAGTTATAAAAGTTTATCTTCAGAGAGACAGAGAGAGTGGAGCAGCAAGGGGCAGAGAAAGAGGGAGAATCTCAAACAGGCTCCACGCCGTCAGCCCAGAGCCTATGGGCCTCGAACTCACAAACCGCGAGATCAAGACCTGAGCCAAAATCAAGAGTTGGAGACCTAACCACCTGAGCCACCCAGGCACCCCTCCTTTTTATTCTTTTTAAAAATCCAGTTAACTCATAAAACATGTGTTTGCTCCCACTGGGTGTCAAGCCTGTTTGGGGCACCAGGGCTCCATAGGTGGAAATGATACAGCTCCTGCCTTGGAGAGGGCAGACTGGTGGGACAGAGACCCTGAACAGACAACGCAGCAGCTGAGGTGAATGTGCTGCCGGTGAGGCTCCAGCCTGGTCCCAGGGAGGCCAGTGTAAAGAAGAGGGCATTTGCATTGGGTTTTGAGGGATGAACAGGAGTTTGTTGGGTCAAGAATAGAGAATTGAACTGGCACAGGGACAAGGACGAATTGTACCATATCCAGAAGCGGGTGGCTGGGAAGGGGAGGGATGGCACGTGAGTCTTGGGAAGGGCGAGGGGTGCCATGGGCACTGTCTGCAGACCTTAGGCAGCCGGGCAGCGCCAGGTCCTGGGAGAAGAAGGGAGGCCAGAAGCTGGACTCCTGTGGTGGGGGGCTCGGGTGCTAGGTGTACATGGAGGATTGGGAATGCCATGGGGCAGACCGTCTGCTCCTGCACCCCCAGCAGACACCTCCTCTTTGACCTCATCAGCATTGGCACCCACCTAAGATTTGTTTTTCCTGAGTAGAGGACTCTGTGACAAAAGCCAGTGTGGAAACCCCAGACAGAGGAGCCTGGTGGCCAGTGCTGTGAGGGCTGCAGGGCAGCCCCTCCGGCTGGGTCATTGTGCCTCCTCCTGCCCCTGTGTGACTGAGGGCAGCCTCCCCTCAGAACCTCAGCTTCCCCACCCATGAAGTGGGATAATAAAGCCTCCTGAGGCTGGTACGAGGACTGACTGAGCACTCGGTGATGCTGCGGGCCCCGTCCTGAGCACTTCGCCAGAATCGCCCCCTACCTCGCCGTGGGGTGTTCGCCATTGTCGGCCACATTTTACAGCAGACGACACGGAGGCCCAGAGGTTACATGACTTGCCCAAGGCCAGGCAGTCTGCTGGCAGAGTCTGGGCTCGCACCTGCTGGACTTTTCTCTGTGTGATTTTGGGCAAGTTACGTAGACTCTCTGGACCTTAGTTTCCCCGTCTGTAAGATGGGAATGCCTCCCTCATGGGGTCACTGTGAGGATTAACGGCGTCCCTGCATGCCAAGCACATGGCATGCACAACTGGGTTCTGGCTTTGGTAAGCACGTCATGCGTGTTAGCCGGTATATTATTGTGATGGGTGGGGCCGGGTTTGCACAGCTCGGTTAGCACCAGGCCTCCACAAATGTTGGACAAATGTTAGACAATGCTGTTGACACTACTGTTATCAGTCCCCACCTGAGACCCTGCGGTCCCTCAGGGGCTCTGGATCTGATGACTCTGCCCCTCCCCCCGACTCTGCCCACAGGCCAACGAGAACAGCCTGCTGAGCGCCCAGCTCAAAGGCTTCCCCCTGTTCCTGCACTCAAACCTGGGCCTGAAGGACTGCAGCATCAACCCCAAGTCCCCGCTGCTCTACGTGACGCGGCCCAGCGAGGTGGAGAAGGGCGTGCTGCCCGGCGAGGACTGGACCGTGTTCCAGTCCAACCACTCCACCTACGAGCCCGTGCTGCTGGCCAAGACCCGCTCCTCCGAGTCCATCCCGCACCTGGGCGCGGATGCCGGGCTGCACGCCGCGCTGCACGCCACCGTGGTCCAGGACCTGGGCCTTCATGACGGCATCCAGCGCGTGCTGTTCGGCAACAACCTCAACTTCTGGCTGCACAAGCTCGTCTTCGTCGATGCCGTGGCCTTCCTCACCGGCAAGCGCCTCTCGCTGCCTCTGGACCGCTACATCCTGGTGGACATCGATGACATCTTTGTGGGCAAGGAGGGCACACGCATGAAGGTGGAGGACGTGAAGGTAGGGCGGGGGCTGCCGGGCACATAAGGGCAGGGCCTCGCCACCTTTGGACCTTGGGGTACCCCAGCGTGACATTGCCAGCCGCATCTCCCAGTGCTGCCGATCCCTCTCCTGGGCCGGCTGACTTTATTAATTGCTTTGCCAGACGAAAGCGGCCCTGAAAGTTATATTGAAGGGTCAGGTATAGAGGGATTTTGCGTCTGGCGTGTGGAGCTCAGAAACATACCTATAGGGTGCGAGGCCCAGTGACTGAAGCACAGGGCTGGGCGCTGGGCAGGGTTGCCTCTCTGCCTTTGAATCCAGACCTGATTTTTCACTCAGAAATGTTGATGTCAGTACCAGGGCCTCCGCAAAACTTCTCAAACGAGAATTAGAGCTGGAATCATACACATGGCGTCGTTTAACGGAGGGCTATAGAAAGAGTGGAATGCATATGTTTATTCCTAAAAGTGTTTACCAAACAAAAGTGTATGTAAAAGCATTTTTGCAAACCATGAAATTTGACTCACATGCATCACTGCTGAAGAGAAACCTCCAGATCAGGATCATTAAGGAAGCTTTAAAACGTAGTTTTCATCCACTCTGTTTTACTCAGAGTTCTTTGCAAAGGAAGCGATCGCTAGTGTAAATGGGGAAATCAGTGCCGGTTGTCAGAGGGCAAGCACAACAGTAGAGCCAAGGAAAACAAAGCCCGGGGATTAAATCCTACCCAGATACTGCTGCCTGCTGACGCAGGGCCCTCCCTTACGAGATTAGCACCAACCCTAGGCTTCCCTTTGATGTTAGGATCGCCAAGGACGCTTTCCTCCTACGTGAGTCTGAGAGTCCACGAGTGGGCGCTGCGTTCCCTGGCATCCCGCAGCCATTGCTGGGGTTGGCCCTGGGGCCTGGGTGGGGTGGGGGGGCTGCGGGAGCACTGGTCTTCCTGCCTGGGTCAGGAGCGAACACTCTCCTCTTCCTTATACCCCCAGAGGAGAACACAGTGAATGGTGTTGGGAGGCAGGCACTGTCTGTGGAGTCAAGACCAATTTGACCCTACATTGACTGGCACACCTGTGCGGTCTCTTCTGGTGTCTGAGCTTCAGTGGAGAACTGACAGGAGGGGCGGATGGGAGGTTGTCAGGCTGTTTCCTGGCACCCCCAGGGGGTTCACAGAGGGGCATGTGCAGACAGGCCAGGCTCTCGAAGCCCTCCTGGCTCCCATCTCGCGGGAGCGGGCTGTCTTTGATCTGCTTTACGCACTGTGTCTGCTCCTGAGATATCACTTCCTCAAGGGCGGTCCTGTTGAAAGAAAGTGTTAAAGATGATTCCTGTTGAGCCTTCCAGCTCTGAGGCTTCATGCGATGCCATAGCCCACTTCCAACAAAGTAGACTGTGTGGTCTTCCACTCCCTCCACTGCAACCGCAGTCTCGGCTGCCTGTCTGGGAGGGTCCTTGGCACTGGTTCACAGCTGATCCCACGAGGAAACCAGGCTACCGGGGCTCACCGTGCCCCCCATCAGCCCTGAGTTGCCCTCTTTGGTTCTTATTTTCCCCGTTTTTGCAGTGAGGTGGGATGATAACAGTTTGGAGCTATTTCTGTCGAAGAATACTAAGAGAGACACCCTCTTCCGCATGCTCTGCTCCGTGCAGATGGCAAAGTGCTTCTCCAGCCAGGGTCCCCTTTGCCTTAAACATCCTTGTGCATCTGAAAGGGCAGAGGTTTTCTCCCTCCCCCCCCCGTCCCTCTATCCCAAGCACAGGCCACAACTAAGCCTTTCTTTTAGGGACATGAATGTCGCCTCATTAGCTGGTACAGTACTGGCTGTACAGTGCAATTTAAATAATGCCAACAGCAGCTGCTTATTCAAGGTTTGGCAAACACCAGGCTCTGTGCTTCACTCTTTCTGTGTACTGCCTCATCTGATCCCATAGTAGCCCTGTGAGGTGGGTATTATTGGAAGTCCCATTTTGCGGAGGAGGGCACTAAGGCTCAGAGAGGTGAAGTCACTTGCCCAAGGCCACACATCTCGAGCATGCACATCTGTCAGGTAGTATTTGGTCTTGGAGATTGCTGGAGGCGGCGGCCCCAGAAGGGCCATGACTTCCAGCTTGCGAAGTACCCTGACAGCAGGGTCTTGTGGGTTTCGTAGCGGCCTCATGCACTGTGCAGGGTGGGGACGTTTGGAGTCCCGACTACAGAGTACAAGCATATGTTTGGTCCACAGCGTCAGCGTCCCTTCATTGGCTTGCCAAGCGTGGGATGTGCCATTGCATGAGGACACTGCATTGCTGGGTACACAGCACATCTTTTGAAAAGCCACAATCCTGTGACATTAGCCTTGCACTTACTGAGAGAGATCCTTCACATTTGACAGACACAGAGAGGAGGCTCACGGTGGCAGTGACCACGGACATGGCGACGTCACCACTTACATTACTTACCAAAATGTCTGGCAGTTTTATATGCAGTACCTCATTTAATCATCCCAAGAGCCCCATCAGGGAGATACTATTATCTCCATTTCACAGTTGGGGAAACTGAGGCCTGGAGTGGTCACAAAGCTTTCTCAAGGACACAGAGCAGAGCCAGGCTAGAGTCAGGTCTTCCTTCGCCAGAGGCCTAGTGGAGGTGGTGGCACAGGGCTGGCTCTGTGGCTGTGGGACCCCACACTCAGAAGGGGCCTGTTCAAGGTCAATGCTCTGCGGGTGCCTTCTGGACATTTTAAGTAATTTTGGAGCAAGAATCCCACATTTTCATTTTTTGCCAGGCCCTACAAACTGCAGCTGGTCCTGCAGGATCTTTCTGAGCCGTCAGTGGGAAGAACAGGGAGCTCCTGGCTTCCCCCTCACACGCTCCTTCCTCCCCTGCCTATCCTAGGCCCTGTTTGATACGCAGAATGAACTACGCACGCATATCCCAAACTTCACCTTCAACCTGGGCTACTCAGGGAAATTCTTCCACACAGGTAAGTGGGCCTGGCTCTGCTCCCATGAGCAACCTCCAGGGGCCCTCAGCATCTGTGTCCTTGAGTGCAGCAGGTGGGCTGACCCCTGTGGCCTCCGCCTGATCCAACAGCCCACAGAGCAGTCACAGCCCCAGGTGGAAGGCATTTGGGGACAGCAGTAATACGATAGCCCCCACTCAGGCCTCCCTGCCCTTCAGGCTCCGCTGTCTTTTGGGGATATCTTCTCCCTCTTCTCTCCCCCTTACCTCCGTCTTTTAAAATTATTTGTCTGCTTTAAAAAGTAATTGGTTGAATTTTAAGAACATCACAAAAACATGTAGTATACAAAGTAAGAACGTCCTATAGTTGTTCCCACCCCAGAGATGGCTGTTGCCTTTTTATTTTCGAGTCTTTTTAATTTATTATTGAGACAGAGAGAAACAGAGCATGAGTAGGGGAGGGGTAGAGAGAGACGGAGACAACAGGCTCCAGGCTCTGAGCTGTCAGCACAGAGCCCGATACGGGGGCTCGAACCCATGAACCGTGTGATCATGACCTGAGTGAGCCGAAGTCAGACGCTTAACCGACTGAGCCACCCGGGCACCCTGTTTTTATTTTCAAGTCTTAAGGGTTGAGGTTGAAGGTGTAGGTTGCCTGATTCATGCCTTCCCTCTTCTCCTGGGCTTCCCCCAGGTCCTCAAATGCTGACCTTCTGGGCTGGGCAAGAGGGAAAGACCCCCGAGCAGTCCTCCGCAGTACATATTTCCCCTAACGATATCCTGCTTGGGCCACAGTGTGGACAGCCTCTCTTGAATTCTAGGAAAAACCGTAAAACCACACAGTTCTGAGGGGAAAGTGTTCAGCAGGGTCCTAAAACCAAATAAGAGCAATACTGGGTTGTCTGCGTGCATTTTTCATATTCTCAGCCTCCAGCATATCAGAAGGAGTTGTGGCAACATGCACGAGACAGGATTAGACATCCTGTGCGTGTTTAAAGAGCTTCTCCGATCATTAAGTGAAAGACAAATGCCAGATGGCCCAATAGGAAGACAGGAACAGAATCAGAGCAGGCATGTCAGAGCTAGGAGAAACCATTGTGATCACTGCCTCTGAACCACGGGTTGCAACCCCGGGGCCCGAGGGCCCAGAGAGGACACAGACCCGCCGAAGTCACGCATTGAGTGAAATCTACACTCTAGTCTAGAATGCAGGGCCCCGGGGTGGGGCTCTGTCTGTCTGCTCCCATGCTGTAGCTCAGGCACCTCTCCCAGGCAGCGCTCTCGGGTGGGCTGGGGCTGGGTACTCCCTCCCGCCGGCAGCAGCCCAGGCGGGAGAGCCTCATGGTGGGGGGCTGGGCCGAGCTGCCCGTGCTCTGGTGGCAGGTACTGACGCTGAGGACGCGGGGGATGACCTGCTGCTGTCGTACGTGAAGGAGTTCTGGTGGTTTCCCCACATGTGGAGCCACATGCAGCCCCACCTTTTCCACAACCAGTCGGTGTTGGCCGAGCAGATGGCCCTGAACAAGAAGTTCGCTGTCGTGAGTAAGATTCCCTACGGGGCGGAGCTGGTCGGGCCAGGGGCCGGGCTGGGGGTCCGGACTGCCGGCCTCTAACGGCTTTGGCAGTTCCGTCTGATAGCATTTTATGAACCACTGTCTCTGAAGCCTCGCAGAGGCCCCGAGAGGTAGTTCTCGATATTCTCCCTTTTCGATAAGAAACCGATGCTCAGGGAGACCACACCAGCTAGGACGAGGCCCAGTCAGGACTTAAATCCAGGCCTGCTTGTTTCCTTCAGGCCAGAGTGGAAGGCTCAGGAAGGCTGCGGCTGGTGCTCAGGGAAGAGGGAATGAGGCCCAGGTATGGGCTCAGCCTGGGCCCACCAGCCAATCCAAGGCCACGACCCGCAGGAAAAGTGACTGTGCTTGCTCCTCACTCCTGGGAGCTAGAGTGTAAGAACTCTGGGCTGACAGTTAAGAGCCCCAGCTTGGTCAGTCCCTCACTCCAAGACTCCGGGCACATCCCTTTCCCTCCCTGGGCCTCAGCGTTCCCATTTGTACCTCAAGGGCTTGGGCCCACTGCCCTGCCGTTCTAGCCTCTGATCGCTCTCTCCTGGTCTACAAAGGAGAAGTAAGGCCCAGTGGGGAAGGAACTCCATGCTCACCCAGCCTTTGCCCTCCTCCCCCCAGGAGCACGGCATTCCCACAGACATGGGCTATGCCGTGGCGCCCCACCACTCGGGCGTGTACCCTGTGCATGTGCAGCTGTACGAGGCCTGGAAGCAGGTGTGGAGCATCCGCGTGACCAGCACAGAGGAGTACCCCCACCTGAAGCCAGCCCGCTACCGCCGCGGCTTTATCCACAACGGCATCATGGTGAGTGGGTCCCCGGCGGCCGTGAGGCCGGTGCACACGCATCGTCTGGGGAAGCACGGCTTCAGCGGGCTGGCCCCGGGTTTCAGGCCGGTCCCCCCAGGGACGGTGGCCTGTCAATCCGGCCTGTCAGGAGCTCCTTCGTAGCTTTTGTGATAGGGGATCAGGGGATGAACATTTGTGAAAGGGATCTCTGGTAAGGACTGGGAACAGGCCTCGGCCTCATTCATTTGCTCATTTAAACATTTCTCACGAGCTTATACTTTGTCTCTGTCCCTCTTCTAGGCACTGGGGATACAGAAGTGTACAAAATCAACTAAAGTCCCTGCTCTTATAGACCTGACATTCTAGTGGCAGGAGATAGACAGTGTGCTCATAAATGTGTAACACAAGTAGTGTACAGTAAGATGGTGGTGGGGCCATGGAGAAGAGTCAAGCAGGGAAGAGAGACAGGGAGTGCCAGACAAGAGGAGAAGCTGACTGAACTAAAGTGAGTAGGGAGGGCCCTCCTAGGAGTGAGCCATGCTGCTATATGAGGAAAAGCATTCAGGACAGAGAAAGCATGTGCAAAGGCCCTGGGGTGGCTTGTGCTGGAGGGGAGCAAGTGAGGGGGAGATAAGGTCGGAGAGGTCATGGGCCTGATTGTGTAGGGCCACATAAGGCCATTGGATGGACATTAGCTTTTTCCTGAGATGGGAAGGTTTCCATGGAGCGCTGTTATGACCAGACTCCTATTTTAGAAAGATTTCCATTGTTCTGGCTCCTGTGAGTCGTGGAGACTTCCGGGGACAAAGCGGGAAGCAGGGAGACAGTTGGGAGGCCACTGCGGTCTTCCAGATGAGCTAGTGGTGGCTGGGGCCAGGGTGCAAAGTCGGGATGCAGTCAGATTCTGGACTCATTTGGAAGGTCAGAGCCAACAAGATCTGCTAATGAGCTGGATGTGAGGTGTGGGAGGGAGATATGAGTCAAGGATGACTCCAGGGTTTTTGGCCTGAGACACTAGAAGAATGAGTTGTCAACAGTCCAAATGAGGCATATGTGGGAAGGCCGGACTCATGCTTTCATCTGTCCATCCTTTTATCCGTCCGTCCATCCATGCACTGACCTCTGGATTTTTCTCTGGGGATGAGGTGGTAACCAGACTATCCTGGAGTCCAGTTTTATGAGAGGAGACAGAGAATCAGCAGTTAAACCAGTGCGTGGCTGAGAGCACTGCCAGGCAGGTTCTGATGCTGTTGAGGGGGTTGCAGGTGTGACTGGGAGGGGTGCTTGGCAGGTCAGGGACCCTCGCCAGACAGACCTTCTCCCTTGCCTGTCTCTGTTACTTTGGGATCTGCTCATTTTGTTAAGTACGTGAAAGGCACGGGCCCGTGGTCTTTGTGGGGAGAAGACCCCCAAGGGCGTGGGCTGAGTGGCTGCACAAGGGGCTGCCTTTTCTGAGGGGACACCTGGCTGTTCTCCCGAGGAAGGGTCCCGGGCCCCCATCTGTGCCCAGAGATGCCACAGCTCTCCCCTGCCCCACCCCAGGTCCTCCCGCGGCAGACCTGCGGCCTCTTCACGCACACCATCTTCTACAGTGAGTACCCTGGCGGCTCCAGCGAGCTGGACAAGATCATCAATGGGGGCGAGCTCTTTCTCACCGTGCTCCTCAATCCTGTGAGTGCTCCGTAGCCCTTGGCATGTGGGGAGGGAGCAGATGCCAGACAGCCTGTCTGCAGCCCCGCTGGCTTTCCTGGGCCTCAGGAGGAGGAGGTGGAAGCAGGCAGGAGGGCCGGGAGTCGGGAAGCTCACTCCGCAGCGCTGCCTCTGTCCCTGCTCACTGTGTGACGGGAATCAAGTTGTCTTCTTTTCTTTCCTTTCATAATCATGTACTTCAAGGCAGTAGTGTTAGCATTTTTGTCTATGTTCTCTTTCCCTCTCTTTGTGTGTGTATAAATACATGAATGTTGTATATTAATATACATAGTAAATCATGATCTATAAGCTACGTATGTAGTTACATATATAATGCATATATTAATACATATGTAAATATACTGTACTATATAATACATGTATAATATATGTACTATATAATACATATATAAATACACGTATATAAAATATAATACATATATCTTAAACTATTCACCTGAACTTTCTGGTCCTCTCTTTCCTTACCTGTAAAATGGAAATAATCATCCACGCTTTAGTAGTATTAAGTAGATATGAAGTGGTGGTGTTATTCAGCTTTACAGGGTAACCAAGTACTCCTTATCTTCCATGAACACCCCACCGAAAAAAATACAAAGGAATGCCCAAGTGACCGCGCAGTAGGTCAGTTCCCCATTTCCGGGTTGTAATAGTTGGTGGTCAGTCAAACCTGGATTCACCTGGCTGTGCCTCGGTCAAGACCACACAGCGAGTGTGTTAATGGCCCCGGTAAACCTTGGACTGGTCGCAGAGTGAGTCTGCAAGCCACCGCAAGACCAGAAGAGTCAGAAGGGGGGGAGGGTGGAGGTGCCTCAGATGCTGAGCAGCTCTGCCCCCCTCCTCTCCTCCCCCGGAGCAGATCAGCATCTTCATGACACACCTGTCCAACTATGGGAATGACCGCCTGGGCCTATACACCTTCAAGCACCTGGTGCGCTTCCTGCACTCCTGGACCAACCTCCGGCTGCAGACGCTGCCGCCCGTGCAGCTGGCACAGAAGTACTTCCAGATCTTCTCTGAGGAGAAGGACCCGCTCTGGCAGGTGGGTGGGTGGGCGGGGCCATGGCCCAGGTGTCCTGTCGCAGAGCGGGGAATGCCCACCACTCACAGGCCCGCACTGCAGACCTGGGCTTGGCCCTCAGACCCTCGTATGCTCTCACAAGTGCAAACTCAGGCACACACTTGCTCGCCAGCAGGGGCACACTCACTTGTTGTCACACACGTGTGTACGCCCCTCCCACACAGACCCACATGCATGCATACTCGTACACACCTGAAAAAGCATTACAAACCTGAAAAGGAACACAGTGTAGATCAAGTGAGGGTCAAAGCAGCTGCCTGACCTGGTTAGACTTTTTTAAGATTTTAACCTTCAGTAATCTCCACACTCAGTATGGGACTTGAACTCCCAACCCTGAGGTCAAGAGTCACATGCCCTATCGAATGAACCAACCAGGTGCCCCATGGCCTGGTTAGACTCTTAGATAGTCCTTCTCATCCTCATAGGCTCTGTGCCACAGGAGAGGGGACTGATGGGAAGTTTTGAGGGACAGCTCTTGGGGAAGTCGATCCCTGGGGGTTGTCAAAATCAGGACACAGAAGCTACGCAGGAATCGATGGCAGTCTCATAGTTCAGACCAGAGGTCAACAAACCATGACTCATGGGCCAGATCTGGCCTGCAGTCTGTTCTTATAAATAAAGTTTTCTTGAAGTCCATCTACACTCATTGTTGTAAGTACTGCTCATGGCCCCTTTTGTGCTGAAGCAACAGAGTTGAGTAGTTGTGACAGAGACCAGATATTACTCGAGGCTAAAATAGTTACAAAACATTTGCCAAAAGATTTACTAAACTGCAGAAAAAGTTCGCTGACCCCTGGTTTAGCCACAGCTCATCCAGTTAAAGTCAAGAGGTGCTCATGAGCCCCTGCTACGCGCCAGGCACTGGGCTGAAGCTCTGCCAGGTCTAACCAGAAACGGCCCCTGCCTGCTCGCAGCTCAGTGTCCTGAGCTGGGGATGCGACAAGGACACGTGTAGTGACGTGTCCTGGCAGCACTGTAATGGCCACACATCCCTGTGCCAGGAGAGCCCATTCATTAGGTTTGCGCCCCCTCCCCCGCCGCCAGCATTCCCTCCACTGTCGTTTTAGGACCCCTGTGAGGACAAACGCCACAAAGACATCTGGTCCAAGGAGAAGACGTGTGACCGCTTCCCAAAGCTCCTCATCATTGGCCCGCAGAAAACAGGCAAGTTTCTCTCCTCTTGGCCCATGTCCCCCACGGCCTGCTGTCTCAGCCACAGAATTCTGGGAACCACCGTGCCCTGGGTCCACTCCCGAGAGCTCTTCCCCCTCTTTCCCAGGAAGTGAGAGTGAAGTTGGGATGCACAGGAACTGCCTGTCATGTAGGGAAGTGGGGAGGGGGTAGAGGATGGGCGTGGAATTTTCTTTCTGTCCTGAACCCCAGCCTCAGGGAGCTCACTCTGCATCTTCCGGGGAGTCTCTGAGTCGAGGCAGAGAAGCCCAGATCAGCTGCTCTGCAGATTTGAGCAGTGCCAAACTGGTTCAGTACACAGAGGAGGGCAATCGATTAGCCGTGTCTGCCAGAGACACAAGAGGGAGAAGGGGTGATATGGTTGCTAAGTCTTTGCCAACAAACACACTCTGCGGCATGAATGGGTCCTCCCGTGTTACAGATCAAAACATCTGAGGCTCAGAGAAACTAAGTGACCCTCCCCCCCACATTCAGTTAGGAAATGACCGATTCAAGTCTTGAATCCCTATCTCTATGGTCCCCAACGCTTAACCTCTTAAGTAAACTAATTCTATAGTCTCCTTCTCTTCCAAGATCTCTCCTCATAGCATATAAACCGTAGACTCCCACCCAGGAAAGGAATGAGCTCCCTAAAGGAGGAAGTAGGTCCTGTACAGTCAAGTGGGCAGAGAGTATGAGTGAGGGGAGAGCACCCAGAAGAAAAGGCATTCGAGTCAAATTTCTTCGCCCTTCAAGAATTTCTTCACATCAACAGATTGCAGGGTCTTGTGCTCCTTTTTCTCTTAGCTCCTCCCAAGTGTCAGAGGATAGAGCCCAGAACTGGAAACCATCTAGCTCTGGGATTCTGAGAAGACACTAATCAATTGGCTGCTGGAGTCCAGGGGCTGGGAGGATTCTGAAGCCAAGTTCCTGTGTAGCGTTTGGAATGCCGTGATGGATTACTGATGTCCACGGCGGCTGCAGGAGTTGGGATGCCCTGTATTCGCCATCCTGGATTTCGTGAAATCCTTCTTCATATAGATGAAGAAATGAAGCCCTAGAGCGGGAAAGGGACTTCCCCAGGCTCTCCCTGTGAGGCACAGAGAGCTGGATTCGGAACCCAGGATGGCAGACTCCATCCTTGAGTTGGGGCTGGGCCCAGCTGGTCTCAGCTGCCCTCTCGTCCTGCAGGCACCACAGCCCTCTACCTGTTCCTGGGCATGCATCCCGACCTCAGCAGCAACTACCCCAGCTCAGAGACCTTTGAGGAGATCCAGTTTTTTAATGGCCACAACTACCACAAAGGCATCGACTGGTGAGTGGCCCTTTCTGTCCAGAGCTGGATGAGAAGGCTGTCGTGGAATCGGGGGGGGGGGGGGGGGGGGGGGAGTTGGGGGGGAGGTGGAGGGCGGCTGTGGTTCACAGCAGGAAGCAGCTGGTACTTGCTCATCCCCAACCAAAGTTCCTGTAAACAGGGACGAAGCTCAGTGACCCTTGAATCATGATGTTGGCGCCTTATCATGGGCCGGGACATTTGACGAGGAAGTCCTTTGCCCCTTTGCATATCACTTGGGGTCAGAGACTGCTAGAAGTTGGAGCCAACCCCTCCCTTGCTTGCCCGGCAAACATCCTGAGTCCCAGAGGAGGACAGGGACTTGCCCAAGGTCCCGAGAGTTGGGGACAGAGCAGGGGCCAAGATCCGAGTGTTCTGACCCAAGAGCTGGCCTTTCTCAACTGTGTTTATCTGACAGTGGAGCAGGAGGCATTCTTGTGAGCCCTTCGGAGTGGGCTTGCTAGCCTTGGGGGGTTGTCTGGGGAGGTGGTTGAAAATGCAGCTGCCCGCCAGAACCCATCACCTAGGTGAGCGCAGGGTGCAGAGCCTCCGTGGGGAGAGTTTTACACTCCGATTTTTTCAATGTGTATCTTTCTCTACTCTTTGCCTTTTCTTACCCTATACACATATTATTACTCTTGTTTTTTTATTTTAACGTAGTGTTTTGCCTGGGTGGAGAGATTATGGGCATTCTTCTGTGTAGTTTTTTGTATTTTTCTGTATTTTTCTCTCTCTTGTCTATCGTCTCTCTGTCTACCTACCTACCTGCCTACCTCTAATCTCTAATGTGTCTATTATCTCTTGTCTAAATCCCATTGTAGCTACTGGAAGTCACCTTCCCTCCAATGTTAGGGAGGTAACGCAGTGTGACATCATATATTCAGCAACATTTTCAGCAGGTCTGGGGCAGCACCCCATTAGCAAGTACCCCAATAGCAAATACATCAGTTGGTGTGTCTATAGCAAACTCTGTGAATATTTACACTCAGGTTCATAAGTCGGGTTTTGCTGCCAAACAGCTTTGCCTCAAACGTGGGGTGGAGGTAAGCTTCTGTTTTCAGAGCTCTCCCAATTTAGGTGTTACAGACAATGGATGGTGGGTGTACAGATGCTAGTTCATAAAGAAAATTCAGAAATACACCTGAAACTAATATAACACTGTATATTAACAAACTGGAATTTTAAAACAAAGACAAGAAAAAAATAAATACGAAAATTCAGAAACAGGAGAGAGCTAGCAATTCCTCAGCCCTATTCCCAAGATTTTGATTTTTTAAGTAGGCGTAAAGTGGGTGCAGGAATCTCACAGGCTCTCAGGTGGTTCTGATAAAGGCCTTCCTGGGACCTCCCTGTAGGATACAGGAGGGAGCCTACAACCTTACCGAAGGTGGGCCTGTGGGCTTTGGCTCCCATAAACCCCTGAAGTTGTACTTCCTTTAAAAAAAAATATATATATATATATATATATATAGAGAGAGAGAGAGAGAGAGAGACAGCAAGGGTATGCTCGAGTGGGGGTGGGGGGAGGGCAGAGAGAATCCCAAACAGGCTCCACACTGTCAGCACAGAGCCTCGACGTGGGGCTGGACCTCACAAACTGTGAGATCATGACGTGAGCTGAAATCAAGAGTCGGATCCTTAACCAACTGAGCCACCTAGGGACCCCTGTGTTTGTTCTTCTATTTTGCATGAGTAGATGCCCCTGGGAGGGTCTGGAGTGTTCATTTAGTTTTCCAAGTTGTCCTCAACCCAGAGCTGGTCCCAAAGGGCTGGCGTGGACGTCAGTCTGGCTGAGATATGGGAGCTTTCTCTGGAAAGCCATCAGACTGACCCATGTGAGGCCGGGAGGGGTGTGGCTAGGAGGAGGAGACACTCCCCCTCCCTTTGTCTCCTGGTCCACAGTGGCAGCCTAGAAAGTGCCACGCTAGGTCAGGAAAGAAACCCCGGACTCTGGAGGTGGCTGAGGGCATTCCTCGGGCCCATGCTGGCCCTTCCTGGGGTCGGAGGGTCCCAGCTCGCCCCCTGGAGGCAAGGGGAGTTAGGGCCCTGTCGGTTGAACTGTGAGCATCTTGTTTAGATTCAAAGACACGACTCCCATCCCATGCCTCCCAACCCATGTGGCTTCCGTAAGTCTTCATATCCTCCTGACTCCCAGGTCCCCCTTGAAAAGGAATGGACTCGCAAAAGGGAGACTGCCGGGTGGCCATCTACACAGGACCCCTCCCAAAGCAAGTCCATGGGATCAATGTGCCCTGCTTGCTCTTTGAAGTTCTACCCCCGGGGACCCTCCCCCCAGCCTCTCATGCTGCACCCTCTGCCCCTCCTCATGACTCTTGCCTGTGGGCTCTTCTCTCTGAACCCCGCAGGTACATGGAGTTCTTCCCTATCCCCTCCAACACCACCTCCGACTTCTACTTTGAGAAGAGCGCCAACTACTTTGATTCGGAAGTGGCGCCCCGGCGGGCAGCCGCTCTGTTGCCCAAGGCCAAGGTCCTGACCATCCTTATCAACCCAGCGGACCGGGCCTATTCCTGGTACCAGGTGAGCCGGGGCTGGGGCGGAGCCCTGACTGAGGGGCACGGGGCTCTGCCTACCACTCCGCCACTCACGCACTCATTCAGCAGATACGGAGTTCACGCCTGCCATGTGTCAGGCCCAAGCTAGGAATGGGGTGGCGGGCAGGAATGGAGCCCCTCCACAGTGCTTCTGGCCTCGTAGAGGGAACGGGCAGAAATCCACGAGGCCTACCCAGCCTCCCAGCTCCATCGCCGCTCCTGACTCTGATTCTGACCAATAAGATGTGGAAGCTGGCTCCACCCAGATGAGACCTATTCAGTGAGCAGTGACCATACTAACTGGCCCCCTCACTGGGCACTACGCCAGGTGGGGGTGGGGATTCAGAGAAGGATAAGGCGTAGGGGTCTCCATTCATGGTCGAGGATGCAAACACCTGAGCAGGTAAGGAATTTACCCTGCTGCTGTCTGCAATAGAGAGGGTTGGACTCCTACTTCCTACTTGACTATGGAACAGCTAGAACTTTCTGTAACTTCAGTGACCTAACAGTTTTTTTGGAGCACCATTCCACTAGACTTACCGAAAAGCTGAGACTTGAGCCTTTGAGGGTTTCTTCTGCTGCCTGCCAGTCTTCCTGGGATAATGACCCAGTGTCAGGGTATGGGGGCGGTGTTCACCAGCTGGTCCAGGAAGGCCTCCTCAGGCTTGGCCACTTGCAGCGGCTCCCTGCCTCTCTCAGAGCCTGTCCACCCGGGTGTCTCCAGCCACTTCCTCTCTGGGGCTTCAGTGTGTCCACAGAGTCGGCAGGTGCAGGCCCTGCTCTGGTCCCACAGGGCCCCTTTCTCTCACTCCCCACCCTGAGATGTGTCTGAGCCTCAGTGCGGGGTGCGGGGTGTGGGGGGCTCATGAGAGTTACCTACAGTGGGCAGGTTCCCGGTGTCTGGATGCTGATCGCCCCAGGACATTGTTTTAGGTGGTTCAAACCTTTGTGATTCTTTCGCAAGCCTGCCTTAGTCTGTTCGGGCAGCCACAACCCAGTATCACGGACTGGGGGCCTGAACAACAGAATGTGTTTCTTACAGTCCTGGAGGCTTGCAGAGTCAGTTCCTGGTGAGAGTGCCCTTCCTCCTCTTAGATAGTCACCTTCTCACTGTGTCCTCACAGGGCAGAGTCGGTGGGGGAGAGAGAGAGAGAGAGAGAGACAGAGGGAGAAGGAGGGAGGGAGGGAGAGGAGAGGGAGAGGGAGGGAGAGAAGGAGGGAAGGAGAGAGAGGGAGACTGAGAGGGAGGGAGGAAGAGAGAGAGAGAAAAGGAGGGAGAGGGAGAGAGGGAGAGGGAGGGAGTGGGATGGGGAGAGAAGGAGGGAAGGAGAGAGAGGGAAGGAGGGAAAGGGAGAAGGGGGGAGAGAGGAGGGAGGGAGAGAGAAAGAGAGGAAGAGAGAGGGAGAGGGAGGGAGCGTTCTCTGATGTTACTTATAAGGGCACTAACCCCATCATGGCGGCCCCACCCTCATGACCTCATCTCACCCTAATTACCTCCGGAAGGTCCCATCTCCAAATACCAACTTTCAGGGGGTAGAGCTTCAATATATGAATTTGAGGGAGGGAACACAAATATTCAGTCCCTAACACCTTGTGATTTCCATAAAGGAGACATTTTCAATTTGGTGTCAATGGCTCCTAAGCCCTTCCTAACACTGCGAAGCTCTGTTTTCAACAGAGAGTGCAAACTTTGGGCTCAGCGCCTGTAGCAGACGTGCATCTGACTGGCACTTGAGAACACTGCTTTATTTTTATTGGTTTTATGAATAATCACCTTTTTAAAACATTTTTAACGTTTATTTATTATTGAGAGACAGAGAGAGAGAGAGAATGAGCAGGGGAGGGTCAGAAAGAGAGGGAGACACAGACCCTGAAACAGGCTCCAGGCTCTGAGCTGGCAGTCAGCACAGAGCCGGACGCGGGGCTCCAACCCACAAACCGCCAGATCATGACCTGAGCCAAAGTCAGACGCTTAACCGACTAAGCCACCCACGCGCCCCATGATTACCTTCTTTATGTGATAACTGATTCTGGTCTTCTATATATGGAGGCATTAGTGACTTTTATGCTGGAATAGATTTATGTGAATAAGGAAGATGAGTGGATGTAAATCACAAGGGCATTGACATTGGCACATGCACGCGGTTTGTGGACACGGCAGACATCGGACAGGTGGTGAGCGGGAGACCAACACTTGGAAGCTCCAATCTAGTCCAGCTCCCGTCTTGCAAAGATGGGAAAACTGGGGCTCCAAGGGGCCATGTGTTCCCCAGCTTGGAGAGCAGTGAGAGGCAGAGCCAGAACTTGAACCCTGGCTCCAGCCCAGGGTCTTCTGGCCACCTCTCGGCCGCTGCCCCAAGAACGCCGCCTCCTTTGTGGCCTTCACGCGACCTTCTGACCCCCGTCCTTTGCCCACAGCACCAGCGAGCCCACGATGACCCAGTGGCCCTGAAGTACACCTTTCACGAGGTGATCACGGCAGGGCCTGACGCGTCCACGAAGCTGCGTGCCCTTCAGAGCCGCTGCCTGGTCCCCGGCTGGTACGCCACCCACATCGAGCGCTGGCTCAGCGCCTTTCACGCCAACCAGGTAGCTGCCCAGCCCTGCCCTTGGGAGGGCACTCACCATACCGGCTTGTGGCTGGAGGAGAGCCTCCAATGTCTTGTCATTTTTGTTTGTCCCAAGGCTGATGGGTGAGAATTTCCTGAGCCCTTGTCCCATCACAAGGGGCTCTATGTCCCTGAGGGGACCCCGAAAGCCCCAGGGTAGGGCTACCCTCCTGGGAGGAGGGGAGGGATATGGTGAGGTAAGGGAGCCTGGTGGGAAAGGGAGGCAGGGCCGGGTCACAGGAGAAGGGCTTCGGGCTGGAGGCCTGGGGAGGGGCAGAGAGGTGAGGGTTGTGAGGGGCAGGCTGTGCTCGGGAGATGGCTTCATCTCTAGGAGAGGATGACATCAGTCCAGGGAACCTGGCACAGAGTTGGACTGTAGGAGACTGAGGCATGGGGTTGCCTGCCATTCCCAAGGGGAAGACGAGGCAGAGGCCGCAGAGCGCAGAGTCCCCAGCTTGTGAGTGGCTGCTGCGACCAGAAGGCTGGGAACCTGTCTGCCCCTGGAGTAAACACACATTCATATCATCCCCCTGTTCTCCCTCTTCTTTCCCTCCCAGATTCTGGTCTTGGATGGCAAACTGTTGCGAACAGAACCCGCCAAAGTGATGGACACAGTGCAAAAGTTCCTTGGGGTGACCAACACTATTGACTACCACAAAACCTTGGCGTGAGTGTTGCCTTGGCTTTTCACTAGGGTGATTTTTCTGAGCAGACACCTGGACCAAACAGCCAAAGGCTAGAATGATTATGGAAGAGACACAAATTAATTCGAGTTATAGCCAAGTGTTAGAAAGTGTGCATATCCTTGGTAGCTGTCTAGCAGAAAAGCTAATATTAATATGATGTGGGTCATATTAATAAAAGTATCAACTCAAGAAAAACGGAGGTGATAAATATGTTCTACTCTGGTCAGTCCCAACCCTGGGGTTTTCTTGTCAGTCTGTGCTGAACATTTTCAGAATCTTTTTTGAAGTAAGTTAGACTACCACTGAACAGCCCCAGTTCCCTGTAAGAGTTTCTTAGCATTAGATTTTGATTTAATTACAAACGGAAACCATAAGTATTGTTGACAACTAGTAATCTCACTCACTCAGAACCTGGCACAAGTGCACTGAGAATGCCCTCCCCAGACTGAGTAGGTGCCAGTCTGTGTTGCAAGAGCTCAGGGATGGGGAGTCGTGTCCCCTAGTGCTGTGTCCCAGACAAGTGACTCACGCAGCCAGATGGGGGTAGGAGGGAGTCTCAAGAGAGGGCAGAATGAAGTCACCATGTCTGGCTACCATTTTGGGAAGGTCATGTAGCAAGAACGTTCTCTTCTCGCTGTCTTGGAAGTTGAAGGTGAAGAAGAGAAGTAGTTCTCCACCTTCAGGCAGGCAGGAATGGCGGCTATGGGTACGGGCTGTGGCACCAGAGGTGCCTGCGTTAGGGTCCCAGGCCCATTGCTTCTTGAGCTGTATGACCTTGGACAAGTGTCTGCACTCGTTCAAACCTCACTTTCCTTCTCTGTAAATTGGAGATAAAAGTGACAATCCCTACCACCCAGGGGTCACTGTATTGAATGCAGAGCTCTTAGCTCAGTGCCTGGCATGTCCTGATGCTCAGAACTCATCTTCATCTTCACCAGCATCGTCTTCCTCCTTTATGCCTACCCTGTGACCCATCCAGAAATCCGTCTCCCTCACCTGCCAAGTGTGAATTCTGTTTTCCGGTTCTTCTCACACCCAAGGAGCTCCTAACGGTTCCTGATCTGGGGTTGAGTTCTGATGCCAGTGTGCCTCCTCCCCTCCCCTTGGCAGCTTCAGATCTCATCGCCCCCAAAAAGCCTCTGAAGGCCCAGCATGACTTCGAATCCTGAAGGCAGTCTTGCTCTGTCATTTCTGAAATTTGCTCCAAAAGCCAGACCTTCTCAGTGCTGGACATGCTTAAATACAACAAAAAACCCCCACTAACCTTGTTTTCCCTGTTGGGTTCTTGGGTGAAAAAAGCTGCTCAGCCCTGAGTAGGTGAAGGCTCAGAAAAAGATGTCCCAGGAATCTCTGGAATTCTGTTATGGGTTGCTGGAGGGGCGGACTCATGCCGCCCCACCAGGACAGAAGACTCAGAGCATGGGAGTTGCCTTCTGCTGGGAAGAAGGGGCAGGGACGTTGAGTGTAGCCTGGGGGCAGAACCCGGGCCAGCAGATGCAAACACCAGACCCACGCATCTATCCACCTGTGGGTTCCAGAGTGGGCTTAGGGTAGTGGGTTTCATGGTCTAGGCTCCTCCCCTCCTAAGGTCTGTGAACATGGCCTTCAGGTGGGAAGGGGATGGGCTGGGCCAGCTCCCATCCAGAGGCTTTCCCCAACTCCACAGGTTTGATCCAAAGAAAGGATTTTGGTGCCAGCTGCTTGAAGGAGGAAAAACCAAGTGTCTGGGCAAAAGCAAAGGCCGGAAATACCCAGAGATGGACCTGGATGTAAGTGGACACACTGCCTAGGCAGCCGGATAACTGGAGGGGGTCCCTAACTGTCAGGGATCCCCTCCCCACTTTACCATGCACTTGGCACCCTAATGGCCTTGGTATTTCTTGAATGGTGTTCTTTTTTTTTTTTTTTAATTTATGTTGAGAGAGAGAGAAGGGAGAGGGGCAGAGAGAGAGAGAGAGGAGAGAGATCATCCCAAGCAGGCTCCACACTGTCAGCCCAGAGCCTGATGCCGGGCTAGATCCTGCAAACAGTGAGATCGTAACCTGAGCCAATAGGAAGAATCAGATGCTTAACCGACTGAGCCACCCAGGCACCCCTTAGATGGTGTTCTTTTTTTTTTTTTTTTTTAATGTTTTATTTATTTCTAGGAGAGAGAGAGAGAGAGACAGCGTGAGCAGGGGAGGGTCAGAGAGAGAGGGAGTCACAGACTGAAACAGGCTCCAGGCTCTGAGCTGGCAGTCAGCACAGAGCCCAACGCGGGGCTCGAACCCACGAACCGCGAGATCATGACCTAAGCGAAAGTCGGACACTTAACCGACTAAGCCACCCAGGCGCCCCTATAGTTCCTAGAAATAAATAAAAATATTTAAAAAAAAAAAAAAAAGGAGGAACTATAAGCTAGGACGTGGTGGGTCAGAACTGATTTGGTCAAGTGAGTATTTATCACCAGGCGGAGTGCCCTGGGCTTTGAGGATGATTCAGACATGTGCTTTGCCTTCAAGGGACTCCTAGTCTGGGAGGGAGAGGAGTCCCACACACCAATAAAAAAGGGGGCAGGTGCTTCATGCAGTAAGAGAGCTGCACGCAAGTGCGGTGGGAATTCAGAACACGAGATGCCACTGGACGTTAATGAGGGGGGTGGGGTGGGGGGGTAAGGGAGGGGAGGGTCTCTGGAGTTGGGCCTGCAACAAGGGGCGACATGTGGACCCAGGCCAAGAGGAATGGCTGTTCTCACAGGAGAGAATGGCATGTCCAAAGGATGAAGGGAAAGGTCACACGCTGTGACTGACTCTCTGTTGCCCCGGTTATTTAATCAATTCTCCCTTTTACCCCGTCACAAGAATTGTGACCTTGTGCACTGTATTTTGGTGGCCTGCTCTCTAGGAGTTTGCTTTTGGAAGCTGCCGTTTTGAGGAAGACAGCGAACAAGTCATCTGCGTGTGGGTTGACGCTGACAGAGTGGGGGTGGGGGGTGGGGGACCCCTCTTGAATCAGCGCATCACTGAGACCCGACCCCTCTCTCCTTCCTGTTCCAGTCCCGCGCCTTCCTGAAGGACTATTACCGGGACCACAACGTCGAGCTGTCCAAGCTGCTGTACAAGATGGGCCAGACACTGCCCACCTGGCTGCGGGAGGATCTCCAGAACACCAGGTAGCCGCAGCCACCTCCGCCAGACGCAACGTTCGAGACGGCCTGCACGGCCTGCCGCACGCTGAGCCAGACTGACCTGCGCAGTGGGGAGCTGGGCCCGGGCTGGCCAAGCACGTATGAGCAATACTCGGCTGAGGCCCCGGCAGGGCCAGGAGAAGAGCCCGGGCGGGTCCGCAGGCCCCTCAGAGCATCCCGGGCTGGGTCTGTTGCCTCCGGACCTCCCTAGCCACCGGGGGTCCATTCTGTTCACAGCCTTCCGTGGGGAGGCCACTTCCTGTCGGGGAGAGGCCACTTCCTGTCGGGGGGAGGCCACTTCCTGGGAGGAGGGAGTCTGTGAGACTCTTTTCTGTCCCTCACTGTGTTCTACCCTCCCCTTCATCCCATCACTCCCTGCCCCGGGCAGGGTATTCCCTCAGTATTAGCTGCCATATTTTCCCTGTTCCTCCAGACACTAGGGAGAAGAGCCCAGCTGGGCCTTTTGCCAAACCAGGGAGAGAGACTGGATGGTTCCCTGACTGTTTTGAGCCAGGCACTTCAGAGGGTTCAGCCGGGGACCCAGAGTCACTAGGCTGGATGTGGGGGTGGCCACCTCAAGAGACCTCTGGACCTCCACACACATTCTGGTTACCACCTTCACATCTCACCTTCCCTTTGAGGTAAAGAATCGCTGATTCCTACAGTATCCACCCAGTGCTTGGGGCCTCTTCAGGACCCTGGGGCACTGCCGTGCCATTTGGACCCAGAGACCCAGGCCTCCCTACCCCCGTTCCTCACCCTGGGATATGACGTGTGGTGTTTCCTGTGGTAAAAGACTGAGGCGGTTCAGGAGTCTGCCAGTATACATGTCCCATTGTACATATGCTGTCCCCACGCCCCACCCGACCTTGGCCCCTGGCAGACACTGGGCAGAGTGGGTCAGACTGCTATCCATGGCTTTGCCCCAGCTACCTGTGGCCAAGGGCTCCTAGAGACCCCCTAACCCCCCTCCCGAATACTAAGAAGCTAAAGTATTTTAATATTTTGTTTTTCTCTTGGTGCCAGAGTTTATACCCTGGGTGCTGGGGTCGCACTGTGTTATATATATATATAATGTGTATATATATATATATTATATTTTTTTTGGTTGGGTTTATTTTTAATTCAGTCATACAAAATGGTGGCAAGCCCCAGTGTCACATCTCAGTGCTAGGGAATGAGACGGAAGGGAGGAGGGGGGCATGTCCTCATGTGTTGGGGCCTCCAGGAGACAGTTTGGAGGTGTCCCTTGGAGAGGTCTCTGCTCCCTCCCCGAGTGGCGTGGTTGCCCTGGGGCTACGGGAACAGAGGTGGCAGGGAGATGAACAGGGAACACCTATTCCTCCCAGGAAACCTGGCTTCCTGAAGCTCAGGGACCCTGGAGGAATTCTGGCCAAAGGCAACAGCTGGGCTGGAGAGGGTGGCTGGGAGGCCGAAGGCCAGCCTGTCCCCTCCCCCTCACATGGTGCTAGGTTGGGAGCTGCCCTGGGAGCCGGGCGGCCCTCTGTGACCCTCTGAACGGTCTCCAGGCCCCCCACAGACCATGGGATCTCAGGGCTGTCTTCTGGTTTGGGCCTGCTCCTACCCCCTTCTTTAACAATGTGAAGTGACGAAGGCTGGGCGCCTGTCCCCAGCCCCTCCCACTGCCAGGTCCACTTCCAGCCCACGTCCAGGAAGCCCTTTCTGGAGAGCCTCGTCCTGTTCGGAAGCCTCCAGCATCTTGGGGCTGGAAGGGTCCTTTGATGGTATGGAAACAGGCCCAGAAAGGGGAGGCAGCCTCCTTGACCCATGTCTCAGAACTGGGTGCAGGCAGAGCTGAGAACTGCATCCGAGGCTCCCGATTCCGAGTCCAGTGCTCTTCTTCCAACGCCACACTGCCTCTGAGCCCATCCTTGGGACCCTACTCTGTGCCAGGTTCCTGTCCCACCCTCAGTCACACCCGTGGTCATTCCAGGATAGGGGACAAACCACTCCTTCCCAGCCAGGGTGCCTTTGAGCCTTCTCAGTCCCTGATCTGCATTTGCAGTCCCGCCTCACTCTCCCTAAGAGGGTCCTTTCCCCAGTGTGCGGGGGGCTGGGGCTGGCTGATCCCTGAACCTGTCCCCTCCCCTCAAATTCTTCACTGGGTGGCTTCTCGGCAGAATGGCCACGTGTGGGTTCGCTGCCCTGCGAGAGAAGCCTTCCCATCGCGCTTCTTCTCGGGGCCTTTGAGCCTGGGATCCAGCCCAGACTCTCAGAATGGGGTCTTCCATAGTGCAGACCCCAGGCCTCCCTGTCCCCCCAGGCCCCCCTTCCCCCCGGGGGAAGCTCCGGGCCCGTAAGGACCTTACAGCTTCCACGTGCTGAAATCTACCCTCTGTGTCTAGATGCCTGCCCCTGCCTCTGGGAGCTCAGAAGGCCTAGTGGGCAGGCAGCCCCGTTTCCCTCTGCCTCTGGCTCCAGGAAGGAGCAGGCAGTGTCGAGGCCCTGTGGGACCCTGTGGGAGCGGAGGAAATATCAGAGAGTTTTTGTCCGGGCTCTTCTGGGAGGCTAGGGACTTGACCTGCCACATGTTCTGTCTGGTCACTGCTACTTCCCTTCCTGCTATAATGAATCTTTCTTGTGGACCCATTGCCAGGACCTGTGGATATTGGGGGGGAGGGGCAGATAAATCCCTCTAGGGGCTCTCAGCCGCTGAGCACACAGATCCCGGACGTGAGAGGAGCAAATGGGTACAGCATCTCAGCATCTCTAATGTTCGCTAATTCACTGTGTTGGGCCACAAAATCAAAATAGAGAGAGAGAGAGAAACAGCTCAGGTCATGTAGCTGACTCCACCATCCATTCTGCCCTACCCCCCTGAGCCTTGGCGGGAGGTGGACACAGGTGTGAGGGTCACACGCGGCTGCCCGAGTCCCTAGGTGTTCTAGAGCCACCCGTGGTGCAGGCATCTTGGGCTTGGAGGATGAACCTGAAGTTTAAAGATGGCCCCCTTCCAAGCCCGTGAGTCAACGCAGCCAGCGCCTTGGGGGCCCAGCGGAGGGAGCCGTGATCTATTCCCAGTGGAGGGAAACGAGGCTGATCCCCAGAGATTGGTGGTCTCCATAGGGAGGCGTCCCACGGGTTTGTTGGTGACGGAGCAAGTGAAAACATGTTTCACTGATTATTTTAATTTGAACACCCACGACCCTCCAACCAGGTTTAAAGTGAACATCTTGTCACACTTGTTCTCTCTCTGTCTACATATATGTTTTTCTGAATTTGTTCAAAAGTAAGTTGCAAATGTCATGAGACTTTACCACATGCTTCCGCCTGCGTCCCCTCCGAGTTAGGACGCCGTCCTCCATATTGGCCTGTTTCACACTGAAGACCGCAGCAATGTCCTAAGAGCATCTGCTGTTTGGTCTGCGTTCACTGTCCCCCAAGTAACTCGTACCCGGTTGGGGAATCAGGATCCTGTCAAGGTGCACACACTCACTGCATCTTGTAACCATGGCTTTTGTTCAGTCCCTTGAAATGCTGAAAAATCCTCTCTCTGCTCACTTTGATTTTTTATAATGCCATTATTTCTGAGGCGAGCGGGCCTGCTGCCCCATCGAAATCCCACATTCTAGATCTGTCTGATCGTTTCTTTGTGGTGTTACAGAACACGGTCCTCCAGCCCCTGCGCTGTCAAGGGTAATTCAGGCTGTCGGAAGTTTTGCCTTTTGTGCTGATGTGACAACTTCACTCCAGCCTGAGATGCCCCTCTACTGCTGCCTGCACCAAGTGCCAACCCAGCAGAAGAGCCGGGTGGAGTTCCAGGAGCCCAGGGGAAGGCAAGGGGGGCAACCATTGCAGTTCAGGGGGAGGACTACGGGGAGGAGCCTGGGCTCGCTGGGGAGGAAATTTCTCTGGCTCAGAAGACCCTGTGCTACCCCCTCTGATCCCGGCGATGGACCACAGGGCACCAAATAGCATCTCTCTCTCTCTCTCTCTCTCTCTCTCTCTGTTTTGTGGCCTCCTGGTGTTTACTTCCCAGAGGCCCACGGTCTGTGTGCACTGGAGCAGAGCCAGGCCCCTGGGATACACCAGGACGGGCCCAGCTGGGGAACTGCCCAGTTGTGGTGTGAGGAGAAGAGCACTGGGCTGGAGGCAGGAGATGTGAAATTTTGTCCCAACTGGGTGCATTTAGTAGCTGCGTGACAGCTTTCCTCCCAGGGCCTCAATTTCCCCATTTACAGCATGCGCAGATGGGGCTAAAGCAGGGGTTTTCAAATGTCAGAGAAGGAAGCAGGTCTGCTCTAGGCGAAGTGAGGATGGAGGGCCCAGACCCCTGCCCTCAAGGCAATGCTGGGTGCCTGGTTTGCAACCGCGGGCTGGCTACCGTCCCCCTCCCCCCTCCCCCGGGCTTGCTCTTGCCAGCTCGGACAGCCAGAGGTTTTTGTAGTTCCCACAGGGGACGGGCATGGGCTTTGTGAAGGGTCAGTGTCAAGGGCCTGGGGAGACTCTGGCTGTGTTTTATCCTAATAAGTTGTTCCCTCCCTCTTTCCTTCGTCTCTCTGGCCCTTGAGGGGAATGAAGGAGGAGAGGGTTTTCTATGACTGTGCTAGCTTTTATTATAAGCAAGAGGGCTCCTTGTGTAATTTGTGCATGAAATTCATGTCATTTCCTGGGGAGAGGAGAGGGCTGACTGGAGAGGGTGGGGGGCACGCCAGGGGAGCAGACAGAGGTTTCCTTCCCTTGTTGGGGGGGAGAGGGGGAGAGGGGATGCTACCCAGCTCACCTGATCAGGGCTCTCGAACCAGCCGTTTTGGGTTGTGTTAAAAGCGGGAACCTTCCTCCATTAATGTACAATCTCGAACTAACTGCTAATAAAGTGGGGTTCTATTTGTATGCGCTGGTCATGTCTGTCTGTCCCTCTGAGCTTTTTGAAAGGCCCGCGGGGGAGGGGTGGAGATAGGGAGGTCTGCACCACAGCCAGTGTGGCCACCCCTGCGTATGGTGACTGGTGATCAGTCATTCCACTCTTCAATCCTGTTGCCCTCATCCCTGAGGGACTTGGAGGAGGTTGGACTCACTGTCTGTTCCTGGAGAACTCGCTTAAAATCCAGATCCCCAGGTCACTCTCCCAGAGAGTCATTTCTGGCAGATGTGGTGTGGGGCCCAGCCATCCGCCTTGTAATGTCCAGCACACCGAGGCACCCCCCCCCTTCAGAAACCCTGGCTTGATCGATGAGTCCTATGGATTCTAATCAGTTCAGCAATTCCCACAGTTTAACCAAACTGTGGTTAAAACATATGATTCTCTAGCCCTCCAGACTGACTGGGCGCCGAGCTTGAGAGAGGCCCCCACCCGCCGTCTGCAACATGGGGCTCTGGACCTGCTCCCCTGAGACCCCCCTGTGAAGCTTTAAAACAATGTACCTTCCTGGGCTCCCTGAAATCCACTCTTTCAGAACCTTTGGGAGGGGGACCCAGCAGCATGCATTTTAACCCCCTGATACACAGGAAGATTTGGGAACACTGAAACAGGCCACTGAGTGCGAGCCGGAGAAGGTCCACCGGAACGTGGACAGCTGTCGAGGGGCGTACGAGGGCACAGCTGGGAACATACCAAAATGCCAGCCTCCAGGCACGAGGGTGGCACCTGCAGGGACCCTTGTAGTTTGTCAGCCGGGAGCTCGTTAGGGGCCGTGTGGCATCACCAGCAGTCCGCGGCTGGCGGCTGCATGAATGGGAGAAGTTCCGGAACGTGTGATGCAGAAAGGAGCCCTGTGCAGGTGAAGGGGTCAGGCTACAGCAGAGACTGTGGGATTTTAAAATAGCTAATATTCATTTTTAAAAGAAAATTGAAATTGAAAAGCAGGGGCGCTCTGGTTGGAGTGGGGTCAGGGTCCAGACTCACCAGCTAATTCCTCTTCTCTGTCCCCCATACTGTCTTGGACCCTAAAATTCCTTGAAACACATTGTGAAAATCCAACCCAGCTGCTCTTAGAGGTCCCAAGAATCTGCATTTCTTTATTATTTACTTTTTCAATTTATACATAGAGAGCATGAGTGGGGGCAGAGAGAGAGAGAGAAAATCTTTTTTTTTTTTACAAATAGTTTATTGTCAAATTGGTTTCCATATAACACCCAGTGCTCATCCCCACAAGTGCCCTCCGAGAGAGAGAGAAAATCTTAAGCAGGCTCCATGCTCAGTACAGAGCCCAAAGCAGGGCTCGATCCCATCACCCTGGGATTATAAACTGAGCCGAAATCATGAGTTGTACACTCAGCTGACATAGCCACCCAGGCGCCCCTCAAGATTCTGCATTTCTAATAGGTTGAGTGAATAAAGGCACATTAGACCCTCCTCATCCCTTAATTGAGGAGGAGTCCAGGGAATCTGATACAGTCTGGGCTCCCCAAAGTAGGCACATCCTTCAGAGAGGCCCTGGATCAGGTGGGTAGAGCAGTGTGCTTCATAATAGCAGAATACTGGAAACAACCTAAGTGTCCATCCATAGGGGATCAGCTAAGTAGCTTCTAGAGTCTCCACACCACCGGCGGGACAGCAGGACCATGATGATGCAGCTGAAAATAATTAGCTCAGTCTTCAAGTCCTGCCAGGAAAATTCCTATGAGACTGGCCTATAGCATGACTGGGTTTTTTTTGGAAAGAATGCTGCATAGTGTATATTTTTCCTGGGAAACATTTTTCCCAGCTCTCACATCAAACTGGAAACTGGTTACTTTTGGAAGAGGGAAAAGACACTGGGAAGAGGGGGAATGTTCAAAGGGGACTTTAACTTTGGCAGCAACACTTTTTATTTTTTATTATTAAAAACAAATTTTATGTCTTTATTTTATTTTGAGAGAGACAGAGAGTGAGCGGAAGAGGGGCAGAGAGAGGGAGACACAGAATCTGAAGCAGGCTCCAGGCTCTGAGCTGTCAGCACAGAGCCCGATGTGGGGCTTGAACCCATGAACTGTGAGATCATGACCTGAACTAAAGTCGGATGCTTAACTAACTGAGCCACCCAGGCGCCCCAACACTTTTTAAAAAAACAAAGATAAGACAGGGAACCTGGGTCCCTTAGTTGGTTAGGTGTCCGACTTCGGCTCAGGTCATGATCTCACGGTTTGTGAGTTCAAGTCCTGCTGAAATCCATGATGATGGTGCAGAGCCTGCTTGGGATTCTCTCTCTCTCTCTCTCTCTCTCTCTCTCTCTCTCTCTCTGCCCCTTCTGTGTGCACATGCTCTTTCACTCTCTCAAAATAAATAAATCAAAAAAATAAAGATAGGACATTTGTGTGTCATTTGTGGAATGAAAATGGGAACATAGAAAGGGGGCTTGTAAGGATGATGCCATGAAGGCCACACGGCTGGCCTTGACCCAGTCGTGAGGCCCCCATTGGAGCCCCGGGCAGTAGGAGGAAGTTCTCGCTTTGCCACAGCACTTGTCAGGATCCTGAGCTGAGGGTCCTGACTAGCCGTGAGACTTGCCTCCAGCCTCTAGCCCTGCGAGCCCAGCATGCACATGCTAGCAGTTGGGGGAGTTAGAGCCCCCATCAGCAGCACCAGACAGCGGACATGGTATGAGACGGAGGCAGCTGGACACCTGTGAGATTTCTGATAAAAGCATAGCACGAGACTAGCCAGCAGATACATCTCTGCTGAGAGACAGTTTGCAAAATAACCAGCCTGAACTCTAAAATTGTCATGGTCATGAACTATAAAGGCTGAGCAATGGTCCAGAATGAAAGGAAACTAAAGACGTCTGGTAATCACATGCCATGCCATGTATGACCTGGACCAGGAAACAATCAGCTATAAAGGACACCGGAGGGACAGCTGGCATATGTGAGTATGGACTGTGTGGATTGGATCGTAGTATTGGATCAATATTCTGCGTCCTGATTTTAATTATTGTAAGAGTCTGTGATTTTTCTTAAGTTCACGCTCAAGTATCTATAGGTAAAGGGGAAGAAAATGGAGCTTGTATTTTGACTCACTCTCCAGTGGGGGACTTATCCGGTGCAGTCTAGAATGTGTCCACCTAGGGGCAGTATCACCCCAGCTTCTCTTAGCTAGAGTGTGAGAATGTCTCCGCAGAAGGCTGGGCTGGTGGTCAATGGAGGTGGGCTAATACTATTATAAATAATAATATCAATAAGTTAAATTACATGAATACTACAAAGCATTTCTCCCTGGGTCAGGCAGGCCTCCTGCTTGTTCAGGACTACCTCTTTTCATCCTCGTGACGACCCTCTGAGGTAAGTATTCGTATCATTCCCATTATATAGGTGAGGCATCTGAGGTTCAGAAAGGGTACATAGCTCTGCCAGGATCACACAGCGAGATCCTGTGCGAGACCCCACAGCCTGAAGCCCACTGGGCTCTATTGTGCCTGCTCGGGCATAGAGCAGGCTAGGGGAATCTACCTGCACTCCACCTTCGGTCCACAGCCACTAGCAGCCCTGGGCCATGGGCTCCCAGACATCCACCTGTGCCAGACATGGGCACTTCTTGCCTCAGCATCACCCGAGCAATTTAAAATTCAAACGCCTGGCCCTGCTGCTCCAGATTCTGACTCAGGAACTCTGGGAAGGGCCCAGGAAGCTGTGCTTTACCAAGTTCCCCAGGGGTTGTTGTGTAATCAGAGGCCGGTGTGAGCAGTAAGGGAGAGGGTTCATTTTCAGAAATACCAGATAAAAGCTGTACTGTCTAATTACCAATAGGTTTACAACCTATTGGAAATATGTACAACACCCTCCCACCCCCACACCACCAGCACACACACACAAGGGAGTCCCAAACCCTTAAGTTCATTCCTTCATTTCCTGGTTCTCCTTCCCCTCTCCATTTCATGGGCTTATTTTTTGCAGGCTTTGCAATGAGCATGTGCCAAAGAACTGACATCTCTGCATCACTTCAAGGAATGTACATTTGTTCCAATCAGACTACTTTTTGGCCTTGAGCAGGCATAGGCCACTTCCGGATAAGGCTGTAACCTCTGCAGCGTTCAGCCAATGGGGAATCAGGGGAGGGACTTGCACGCTAGGAGATAAATTGCCTGCTGTAACCGCCCCCAGGTGTGCTTCTCCATCAGACACCTGCTCTAGCAAGAATGTTCATTAAAGCCTCCCTTCACTGTGCTCTGAATCTCTGCGCCCCCGCTTTGACTGAGTCAGCGGGCTTCTCACAGCCAGCAAGTCTTGGTCATTTGAATCCGGCGTGTTTTCTTCCTGTCCTCTACAGCCCCAGGCAGGGTGCTTCCAGGATAGAAGACAGACATGGATCCCTGCCCCAGATGACATCCTAAATACTACTGTACATCTCTTCTCTTTCAAGACTCTCCCTTCTGCTCCATTATGACATTTTTGGAGGCTTGTTTCCTCTGCCTGTCAAATCCACAGCTCTGAAATCTCTCTTCATACAGGAAGTCTTCCTGGCTTGCCTCTACATACTCTCTGATCACAGATATCCATAGATGGTCATTCAATAAAATAGAAGTACCAGATTGAAGAATATGATGCATAGGTTATATTGCAGATAATTTTATTGTAGCATGTGTTTATGTTATCACATGGTATATATTTTTATTATATTACAGTTAGGTATATTATAGGCATTTAGTTCTGGTATATACATTTAGGCATGATGTGGTAGAGCTAAGAAGGCCCATTCAATCTCTTAGTTCCTCTCATCCCCATTTTATAGTTAGGTAAATTGAGGCCCACGGCAGGTAATGGAGCTCAGGGGCCATGAAGATCCTTGGTCCCCATACCTCCTGTTCATGTGGATTTAAGCCCACCAAAGACTGACCCACCAATTTTCTAACTGCCTGGCTCATAGTAGCTTGTGGTCTAAGGAGGGAGACAGAGGTAAGTCCTCCATGGCCAGCCCA